CAGCAGGTTTTCATATTTTAATAATATATTTTTTGAAATACATTTGGATTTGTGAACTCTTCGAGTGGTGATATGCATCTGGGTATCTTAGTATAAAACAGTCTTTTAACTTCTTCCTATACCTTCAATAGTGATTTTCTAATTAGGTGTTGTTTAAAATATTTATGTGCATCTGCTTTCTCATGCCATAAAAATGCATGCCATCCCAATAATAGTCCATGTCCTTCCAAAGTTATTAATCTAGTATTTTCTAATGTGATCCATTATTTTAGCCGTGATTCTGCCGTATAATATAGAAGCCAATCTGATAATACAAATCCAACTCTTTCTTTTGCATCTTGCAAGGCTTTCATTTTTATTCTTGGCTTTTTACCCTGCCATATAAATAGTGAGATCAATTAACCAAGTTCTTTAAAATATTATTGGTTTTGTACAGGGGTCTGCAACCTTTAAGACATAAAGAGCCACTTGGACCCGTTTTCCGACGGAAAAAAAACCCGGGAGCCGTAAAACCATTGCGATATTTAAAACAAATATAACACTGCATATATTGTTTCTTAACTTAATGCTATATACAGGGCCCCAGTGCACCATAAATCATAATCAGTGCCTGATGAAAATAATAATTAATAATGTCATCCTCGTCGTTATAAAATAACTTTTTTGTCACTTTTTAATTATTTCTTTGTTTGACCCCCTCTGAATTACTCCTCCTTTATAGAAATAAATTAACAAGTTACCTTTTTTGTGTGTGTGTGTGTTCTTCACTCCAGCGCAGTTGTGTATGTTCTTCACTCCCGCGCAGTGCTGCTCACCCGCGCAGTGCTGCTTAGGCTGGCACCAGCTCCATCACTCCTCCCCCTCGCACGCAGGCGGCCTGGCTACTATCCCAGCAGCCCTTACGAGTCGCCAAATGACGAAATCTCGCAGCTGCACTTTGGGATGTCTGCGCTCCGCCTCCGCCCCGCCTCCTATCGGACTAAAAGCATTACATCCCGTAAAGCTCACTGAGAGGAGGCGGGGTGGAGGCAGAGTGCAGACATCCCAAAGCGCAGCTGCGAAATT